GGACCAAGATCAAATCTGTCCCGGGGCAGTGGAGCCCGGTTGGCATCCTTTGGGAAAAATGTGAGGTCGGAAATGAAAAGGCAAGGCGCGGGAGAGGCGAGTCTGGGGGTCCTGTCCCCAGTTTCCTGACCCTCCTTTAAGCTTGAATGCAGAACGGGTCACGCTAGGGTAAGGTATGGGCCAAGCCTGAATCGTGTCCTGTCCCCAACCAGCAGCAAAAGCTCCGTCTGCGCCCACGGACCCGCCAACCTGCTGTCACGCTCGCTCGTGGGTGTTGGTCCCTGTGGGTGGGTGTGGGCGTGGCCTGAGGTGGGCGTGGCCCATGGATGTGGTCTGTGAGGGGATGGGGGAGTGGGCGTGGTCTCCGTGGGCGTGGCACATGTGTGGGCGTGGCCTTGGGTGCAGAGGCCTGCGAGATGGGCCTGGACTGTGGTTTGGCCCGTGTGGGCGTGGCCTCTGGGTGGGCGTGGCCCTCTGGCTCCCTGGAGCCCCTCAGAACCCCAGTGCCAGGACACCTCCGTGTGCTTGTCCTCATCCTCAACCAAGGCCCCCTGCAGGTGTAGACAGGCAGAGTTACCCCAGTGCTGTGGTAGAGCGAGTGGCCACGGATGAGGCCGGATTGCGGGGGATGGGGCAGGGGGTGGGGGGCATTCTTCCTGCAGCCCCCGTCTGTGTCCTGTCACCTTACACCCAGGGACCAGGGACCCCCAAGTTCAGACTCGCAGGCCACCTGCAACTTTAGTTGCTCCAGAAACATGTGCTGGTCCCTTTCGGCCACAGCTGTCTGAGCCCTATCCCTGGCCTTTCCCCCACCGTGGACATCAGGGAGAATGTGCCCGCCGGAGGCCGGTGCTGTTACCCTCACAGACACCTGCCCTGACGACAGGGCATAGCCCCCAGAACGCACACAGCCCGAGGTCCAGTCTTGGCTCCCTTCTCCAACAAAGGGCCATCTCAGGGCCAGAGGTTTCCTCCACACTCTTTACAGCGTGATTTGTGGGGAAGAAGCAACCATGGTGCATGCTGGTACACCAAGCAGATGAAGCAGGGGATGGTTTTGAGGACAACACCGCAGGAAGCAGGACCCTGGGGCGTCACCAGCACTCCATCTCTGACTGTCCCCAATTTCTGCACCTTTTGTGGTTTCCAGAACCCTTCCCAGACACAGGACTCCCGTGAGGTAGGAAAGACTTTGAGATCCAGACACAACTAGAGACCTGTGGTCCAGAGACGTTCTACAAGAGGTCCAAGAAACGGGTTTTCTAAGATGGGGTCCTGAAGGACCAATAGGAGTTTTGTTGAGAGGAGGGAGCGAGCAGTGGTAGGGCCCCGTTCAGAGGTGCCCAGACCACATCCCTTTCCTGGAGGCTCTTCCAAGATCACTCTAACGTCCTCAGCTTTCCCTTTCCGGAAGGTGACCTCTGCACTCTTAGCTCTGATCTTACACTGCCTTCAGTGGTAGAGCAAGCCAGGCGTGAGGCTTGGCAATGGCTTGTTTGCGAAAGAGAATGGCCATCAACTCTTCCCCAGAACTGGGCCTGGAAGTAGCCTGACACGAACGGCCTCAAGGACCTTTCTTTGTTGTTGCTGGTTTTGTTGTTGTTTGCTTGGGGGCCACATCCAGCAGTGCTCAGAGCTTAATCCAGGATCTGTGCTCAAAGATCACTCCCGGTAGTGCTGTGGGAACCCTATGGGGTGCTGGGGATCGAACCCAGGTTAGCTAAGTTCCCTACTCAGTGCACTCCCACTGGCCTTAGGGTCCTTGCCTTTCTAACAACCTACGATTTCCTTGTGTCCAGTCTCCTAGATGTAGAATTCTACCCGCTAGTTGTGTACAACCAACACACTCTGGAGGGGAAGATGGGAGAAGGGAAGGAATATTTGAAGGTGTATTTAAATGTTGGTTTTAGAAGCTTGAGAAAGCAGAGAGAAATGAGAATGTGTGTGTAGGGAGGAGGCTTGTTTAGAATCAGAAAGCAGCACAGTGAAACAGCAGAGCTTTCTTACCAACCAAACCCAAACCACACTGATGTTGACTGAAGGAAGCGCGCGCGCGCGCGTGTGTATGTGTGTGTGTGTGTGTGAGAGAGAGAGAGAGAGAGAGAGAGAGAGAGAGAGAGTTTCTGTACAGCTTCACCTTAGGCCCAGGCCTGAGATCCCCAGGGGTGAACACTGGCATAAGGAATGCTTTCATACTTTTACAGCCTCGCCTGTCCAGGGCTCAGTTGCTCTCAGTTGTTAAGGTTCAGAGGCAGGATGGAAAACTCTAGGACCGTGGGCGAGGTCACTCCCTTTTCCAAAGCAGCCCCAGAAAAGCGCCCTTAGAGATCAACAGAGCTGCAGGGGAAACCCAGACCCCCAGCTCAGCCCCGAAATCCTATGCCCCCCCCAAAACACACACCAAGTTACAGGAAAGTGACAGCTCTGCGCCCCCACAGACGTAAAGAACCAAGAATGTGGAGTGTGAAGGCAGTTTGGGGTGAACCAGAGGCCCCCAGGCTGGGAGCACCCACAGTTTGCTCTCACTCAGAGACGGGGCCAGAGCCCATGTGCTCAGCCTCCTCCTCCAGGCTCGGTTAAGCGCCCGGTAAGATTCAGGACTTGGGTAACCTCTGACTCAAAATTCTGGCCTTGATGCTCCTTCCAAGGAGAGGGAGAGGGAGGCAGGAAGGGGGAGGGGGAGGAGGAGAGAGACAGAGAGACAGAGACAGAGAGAGACAGAGAGGGAGCAGAAACAACCCCGGCAGGCACCCCCGGAAACCTCTGGCGCAACAAACAGGGCGGGGCTGTGCTTGAGGGGCCCTTGCACAGTACCCAGCTCGGGGACCCTAGAGGCTCCCCCAAGAGGCGGGAAAACATCAGGACGGCCCTCTCCCCACCACGATTTTCATTATTCCAGCTGCTACGCCCTCAAATAAAGAGCCAGTTTCTCTAGACACCTGGGCAGCCTCCGAAACCGAATCTGTCGCGCAGGCCACGGGAGTTGGTCAGCGGGAAATGGACTGCACCCCGAGTTCCTGGCCTGCTTGGTCACGGTCCCTGCAGGCTGGATGCCTCCTTGGGTCCGTCAGCTCCACCCCGAGCCCACAGGGGTCTGGCTAGGAGGGCCGATTCCCCAGCCCCTGCACTGTCTGGTTTCATAACCCTCTTTCCAAGCACCCCCAGCTCCCTGGTGGGGGGTGGAGGTGGTGGGTGCAGGGAGGGGTGAGATTTTTCAGTGCATATTTGGAACCTGCCACCTGTCCCCAAGGGCCCCCAGCTGTGCCAAGCAGGATTGTTTAGGGGGACGCCCGCACCCATGTGGGCAGGCCTTGGGAAATGCAGGCAATGGGTCTTCACCCCTTTTGTCAGTTCAGGGCTGGACAGCCTCAAAAAGCAAGGTGAGACATTCTCCAACAGGGAGGAAAGCGGGAGGCGAGCCCAGGGGCCGCCGGCTTTGAGGGGCCCGACCCCACCCTCCCTGTCCCTGGAACCAGCAGGGGGCGCTTCTCCTCCTCCTTGGCTTCTGCCCCTAAGAGTCCGGGCACCCCATTCTCACATGGTGCAGAGTCCAATTCAAACAAGGACGCCAGTGGCCGGCTCTGGACCTCCCGGGCCCCCAGTTACCAGCTTCTAAGCCAGGAAGGTGAGGGTGAGGGATGGTGTTTCAAGCAGGAACCAGAAGCCCGCCCCCCACAGAGTATCACATGCAGAAGAAAACCAGTGTTTCCTGTGGCACGCACCAACATTGGGCCTGGGGGCGGGGAGGTCCAGCAGGACCCCTCAGCCCTCACCTGAGCCCTGGGGAAGACCACCTGACCTGAGGCCTGGCAGAGTCTGTGCAGAGTTGAAGGCCGGTCAGAGCAATGGTTAGCGGAGGGAAGGAAGGGCCTTCTGGAAGGACAGTGGTCACTTCCCTGGGCACGAGAGGCCGGGCAGAGGGGCAGAAGCGGCTGACATATCCCTACTGACAGGGCAGACTCGCCTGGCCGGACTGTGATTCAGAGGGGAGTCAGAACCAAGGACAGACCCCACCCACTGTATACTCAGGACCTTGAGCACCAACTCCAAGGGGAGGATGGGGCGGGGGCTACCCGCCCTCCACCTCCACTCAGGCCTGGCCACGCTCCGGCGAGTGTCTGGAGCAGCAGGGAACAGAGGCTGTTCGAAGGGCCTTCTGGGGGTCAGAAGCCCTGGCTGGGTCCCCGTTCCTGCTCTCATGGCCCCGCGTGAATCCATTTTCCCTGAGCTACCAGCCACACCCTCTCTGCCGGCTTTCCCAGCATCCCCTCCAGCAAACAGGGTGCGGCCGTGCTTCTCAGACTGGAGGAATCCACCCACCCCTGGGAGGCCTGGGGCAGGCAGCCAAGGTGGGGGTCCCCGCACACACAGGGCCAGGTGGGGTCAGGCCGCCCTGCTGCTTCGGGTCCTGCCTTGGGAAGCAGGATGTCACCTCCTGCATCACGGTTGCACCCTTGGGTGCTGGGCACTGGTGACTACCACCAAGGTGGGGTGGGGGGGGCGTAGGCTGGTCCCCCCGAGCGGGAGCTGGTGATCAGGAAGAGGGTCTGGGGAGAAACTACTGGTTATAGGGAAACCAAGTGTAGGAATGTGAACATTCATTTTTTTCTTATTTGTTGAATTTATTTAAACAAATCAATTGAGAAGTACCATGGAACGAAACAGAAGCTTCTGGCCTGTAAACCTAGTGCCGATTGTTAGCACCTTCAGGAAAGCCACCCAGAGCAAGGCCACGACATAAAGTCTGGCGGCGCAATCCCAACAAACCACAGTCACATGTCATGAAGACCACAGAGGCCGTGGGGGGCGAGCCCAGGACTGGAGGGGCTCTGTGTCCCCGTGTCCCCGTCACTGTAGCCCCCGTGCCCGGTTGTCCCCCTTCCTGCTGAAAGCCCCACCCCCAGCCTCGGTCCTGCTGCCTCGGGCCAAGCCTCCGAGCGCCCGTGGGCCCGTCCAAGTCGTTCTGGAGGAAAACGCCTCTTCTCTGTGTCCGTTTCCAGATGTCCCTGGGCCAGCAGCCGCCGGCGAGAGGAGCACCCTGCCTGAGATGCAAAGCCACGTGCCTGGGCTTCGAGCCGCACTCCTGGAGGTAATGGCCCTGGCAGCAGAGGCCGCCGCCGCCTTGTGCCTGGTGTCTTGGCTGAACTTCCGGGGACCCCACTGGGGAGCCGCCAGCGCTGTGGGGGTGGGGGCTGCAGGCTCGGTGGCTGTCCTGGGCCCCGATGCCCGTGGGTTCCGATCTCAGCATGCCCCAGACTGAGAGCCCTGAGAACCCTGCCAGCCGGGGGTCCCTCTGCATGCGTGAGTTCCACACCCCAGCACCCAGAGGTTCTCATAGGCTCCCGGTCTGCTCCAGTTCATTTCCTACTTTCAGGAAAAAAATCACGCAGCACCCCGCTAACCATCAGAAAACACCCCCTCTGGTGCCCCAGGGTTCCTCTGCCCCCGCCCCGATCGCCCAGCACCCCCACAGACAGTGTCACCCCCTTTGGGGAATCTCATGCTGAGCTGTCCATGGGCAGGGTCGGCATGGGAGTAACCCCACATGGAGTGCTGGGTGCCCTCGCTCCCAGTGGGAAAACATGCAGGATTTGAACTCAGGGCTGCACACCGCGCTGGCCACCCACGCACCCACGTCCTCTCCATTGTAAGACGCATTCAGGTCTCCCCGCACATCCGCTTTCTCACTGTTCCCCGCACCCTGAGCACACAGACATAGAAAGCGGGCGATCAAATCGAACTTTCACTGGATCGTAAATCATGAAGAAACTTGTTTCAGAAAAAGTTTCAGGGAAAGTTTTGGTTTTTTTGTTTGTTTGTTTGGGTTTTTTGGTTTTTTGTTTTTTTTTTTTTTTTTTTTTTTTGCTTTCTGGATCACACCCAGCGATGCACAGGGGTTACTCCTGGCTCTGCACTCAGGAATTACCCCTGGCGGTGCTTGGGGGGACCACATGGGATGCTGGGAATCGAACCTGGGTCAGCTGCGTGCAAGGCAAACGCCCTGCCCTACCCGCTATGCTATCTCTCAAGCCCCCCTGGGGGGAAGTTTAACAGCATCCCTCTCCCCCACCCGTCAGCAGCACCTACTGTCCAAATCCCCCTGAACTGGCCACAGCCCTGTTTGGGGAGAACCACTACTGACCCCCTCTAGGCGACTCCCTCCGAGCTCCGTGGACAACCGCTGTGGTAAGGGACGAAGCGCATCACGCCCAGTGGAGAGTCCAGGTTGCCCCCAGGGGCCAGGCACCCAGCTCAGACCCACACCTGTGGCCATGAACCCTGCAGGGGGCATCCATGGGCCTTGTTTCCCTTAAGGCCCACAGGCCGCCTGCCTGCCCCCAGCCACCCGCACCAGAGACGGGCCACAGGGTCAGCACCGCCAGTTTCAGGATTTCTTCTTCTTCCTCTTCTTCTTCTTTTTTTTTTTTTTTAATGAATCACTTGATCACTTGACCCAGCCGCTGCCACGCTCCAGGATCCTTTCCGGACCACGAAGCCGCTTTATAAGACACTAAATACCCATCTTCCAGAATTGCCGTACCATATTTGATAGGGTTCAAATATGGTTTGAACCATGAGAACACCTACAAGGGCGATTAGAGGCCGCCCCAAAAGCCTCTATCCCTCTCGGAGAGCCTGACAAGCTACCGAGAGTATTCCGCCCGCATGGCAGAGCCTCGCAAGCTATCCGTTGTATATTCAATATGCCAAAACCAGTAATTACAATGGGTCTCATTCCCCTGACCCTGAAGGTGTCACCAGTAATTTTAATGAATCATCATGAGATAAGTTACAGACTTACAAACTTGCATGATCACATTTCAGTCACACAATGATCGAGTACCCATCCCTCTGCCATTCTCCAATGTTTCCAGTATCCCTTCTGCCACCCCCGCCTCTGTGTCAAGCACATTCCCTCTCACTCTCTCTCTCTCTCCTTCGGGGTGTCATGCTTGCAATACAGGTACCAAGCGGCCATCATGTTTGGTCAGTGGTCTACTTTCAGCACACCTCTCTCATCCCGAGCGAGTCCTCCAAGCATCCTTTATTTAATGGTCCCTTCTCAGCTGCCTTTTTCCCCAGAACATGAGATCAGCTTTCAAGTCATGGAGCTATCCTCCTGGTCCTTACCTCTACTATCCTTAGGTATTAGTCTCCTAATTATGTGACTTTATATTCCACAAAGGAGTACAGTCCTTCTATGCCTGTCCCTCTCACTCTGACTCATTTCACTTAGCATGATACTCTCCATGGCCATCCACTTATAAGCAAATTTCATGATTTCATCTCTCCTAACAGCTGCATAGTACTCCATTGTGTAGATGTACCAAAGTTTCTTTAACCAGTCATGTGTTCTCGAGCATTCTGGATTTCTAAGCCGCACCCACCAGCACCAGCACGGCCAAGAGCCTGTGTGCCAGCCCCACAGCCAGAGAACGAGGCCTCACCAGCGGTCACTCTATGACTAGGGCCCACAGACCTGACCCAGGGCAACGCTGTTCCTAACTCGCAGGGGGCCGCAAACCTGTTTGGTCTTGGCCAACGCTGTGGGAAGAGCATCCTGTGTGTCAGTGACAAATGTCGGTGTTGGCGGGGCCGTGGGTGCGTTCTGATGAGTCCAGAGACACGCCCGCAGGGGACAGCCCACGGCAGCCATGAAATCACTGCTTCAGCACCGCGGGGGCCAGAGCCCAGGGGAGCAGGGACTTGGGGCCGGGGGCTGGGCACCGAGGGGAAGACCCAAGGGGCCTCCCAAGGCTGCTGGTTGAGCTGTCACCGCTGCCACTGACCCCCGCCCCGAGTGCCGAGTCGTCCCCGGCCTGCAGACAGACCCACTCGTGCCCTCTCCCCCCACTCCGCCCCCAGGAAGATGTGCAGGTCCTGCAAGTGCAGTCAGGAGGAGCACTGCCTCACCTCCGACCTGGAGGACGACTGCAAGATCGGCGGCCTGCTGGCCGGCTCCAAGTACGCGTCGCTCACGGCGCGGGTGAAGGGCGGTGATGGGCTCCGCATCTACAAGCGGAACCGCATGATCATGACCAACCCCATTGCCACCGGCAAAGACCCCACGTTCAACACCATCACCTACGAGTGGGCCCCGCCCGGGGTCACCCAGAAGCTGGTGAGTGCGTTTCCGCCAGCCAGAGCGCGTTTGGGGTTTCTGTTGGGAGGGTTGTTTGTGCTTCAGGGGGGACACACACCTGACAGCGCTCAGGGCTTACTCCCGGCTCTGTGCTCAGGGACCCCTCCGGGGGTTCTCGGGAGACCCTGTCGGGTGCCGGGGTCAAACCAGGGCTGACCGGTGCGAAGCAAATGCCTTGCCCACTCGGCTCTCGGGAACGTGCCTGGCCAGGAGCTGCCTTGCTGCTGTTATGTTCCGGGAAGGGGGTTTCGCTCACACAGTGACCAGACCAGACGCAAGGGTGCAAAGGAAAGGCCCCTTGATCGCTAGCTCGAGCTAGGGTGCAAGTCCCATCCAACAGAGTCTTGACAAGGACCCCGACTCCGAATTCTAAGTAGTTTATATAGGATTTGGTTACATAACCGCGTTTTTCTAGGAACTGGCAATATGTCTCCAGTTCTTGGTTCCTGTCCAGTCCAGTGACTTCACTCCCTCGGCCCTCTCTGCTTGGCTGGGCATCACTGTCCATGGCCCCTACTCCGATAGGCTGTTGCCACGGATCAGTTTATCTGCCCAGGATGATATTGTTCTCTGAAAAGACGGGACTTTCTGAAGGGGGAGACTGACACTTAGGCCTGCTGAGTTTGGGTCTTAAAGTGGAGCCTGTCATGGCTCCATTTTGGCCTCACACTGCGAGGCCCGAACTGCCCTGTGCACAAGGAGTCAGAGGCGGGTTCATGCCCTTTGCCAGTGGGAGGGCAGACGTCAGGCCCCAGCAAGGAGGCAGAACTGGCAGCAGCAGGCAGAACACGTGGTGGGAGGGTCTGGGCAGGGCCCGTGCGTCTGGGCGAGCAATCAGGCGAGTCTCGGAGACGCGGGTGGAATCGGATGAAAGATCAGCTCTGGCTGTGGACCCCTGTGCTCTGCGCTGGGGCCAGACCCCAGCAAGGCTGCTGGGTCTCCCCCGCCCCGGCACACCCTCTCCCACCTTACCAGCCCCGCGATCGCACTGAGGTGCTTGTCGAAACGGGACACCTCTGTCTGGGGTTTCAGCTCATCAGCCGTGTCCCGGGTGCCAGGCGGGGCGGGCAGCTGGCGCTCACCTAACTTCCCTTCTGTCCCAGGGAGGTTCTCTCCTGACCCTCCTCAATAGAGAAACTGGGGTGCAAAGAGGTGACCCTCGTCCTCCGGCTGGTTCCCACAACAGGGCTGTGCCCCAGGGTTGGCCTCCACGCCCAGGCTGGCCTCCTCCCTGCAGGCTGGCGAGGGGACAGGAGAAGACATGCCTTTTAGGACTCACTGGACTTCACTGTGGAGCCTCAGATGGACCCAGGGGGCTTGTCAGCACCCGGGTGGGTGACACAAGGCATCCAGGCCCCCCACCCCGACTGCACACTGCCCCAGTGGGTACGGAGGGGACAGACGCAGGAGAAACCTCCCCTGAGCATCCCATAGCCCGACCCCACCTGCAAGCTTCACTAGGCCGTGGTGTAGGGAGCCTGCAGCTGCCGAGGCTTAGTAGAGATGGCAGAGAAGGAAGCTGAGGCCCACAGGGTTGGCATGCCTGGGTCGTATACAGAGAGATGGGGGGAGGGAGGGGGTGGAGCTAGAACCCCAGAAACCTGCCCCCAGAGTCTGCCTACTCCCAGACCGTCTCCTGCGTCAGGGGGTGGCAGGGGGCAGACATGCCGAGTGCCCAAGTCTTCTCCGCCTGATGGCGCCCAGTCCAGGACTGAACTGCCGGTCCCTGTTCTGGAAGATTCTTGTCCAGATCCTGGTTATCTTGCAGTGTGGGATGCTGAACTCCGACTGTTCCCCACCCCCACCCCCCACCCCCTGCCTTCCAACCAGGCACTTCCAAGAAGGCTCAGGACCCAGGCCCTGGGGATCACCACTCAGCTGCCATGGGCAGGACAGCCACTGTGTCCCCCAGGGCCCACCCCCACGGGCGACCGGTCTGTTCGTGGGCCAGTAACTGACGGGATGACCCTGACCGGCTGATTCCACAGAGCCTCTTTATGATTTGTATTAATAAACCAGAAAACACCCTAGGCCCATGGAGACTTTACATGGTTTTAAGACCAACTAGGGGCTGGAACGATAGCACAGTGGGTAGGGCATTTGCCTTGCACGCGGTCGATTTGGGTTTGATTCCCAGCATCCCATTTGGTCCCCCGAGCACCGCCAGGAGTAATTCCCGAGTGCAGAGTCAGGAGTAACCCCTGAGTATTGCCAGGTGTGACCCAAAAAAACAAAAACAAAAGACCAACTAGGTTGAAACTACAGGGACATTTTTTTTATAACGAGTGTCCTATCACAGACAGTCCCCTGGGACGAAAACAGAGCGACCCACATCCTCCAAGCATGTGGGGCTGCAGCTGGGGTGACCAGCTGACTCGGGTCCAGCCGGACTTTCCCCCTTGAGGATCGTGGGTTCTGCGGAGCCTCGGCGGGACCGGGGTGCGGGGAGGGCTCTCCGGGGGCTCCATGGGCCCAGGGCTCACGGCGTCCGTCTCCTCCAGGGCCTGCAGTACATGGAGCTCATCCCCAAGGAGAAGCAGCCGGTGACGGGCACCGAGGGCGCCTGTTACCGCCGCCGCCAGCTCCTGCGCCAGCTGCCCGTCTACGACCAGAGCCCCGCGCGCTGCCTGGGACTTGCCGAGAGCGAGCGGAAGCTGATGGAGGACTTCATCCAGCAGTATAAGAGCGAGGCCCTCGGCGTGGGCGAGGTGGCCCTCCCCGGCCAGGGCGGCCTGCCCAAGGACGACGGGAAGGCGCAGGGCAGCAAGCCAGAGGGCACCGAGGCCGCAGCCCCCACCACCAATGGCAGTATCGGGGACCCGGCCAAGGAAGTGGAGTATGTAAGTCAGTCAGCCCACGGCCAAATGGCCCCGAGGGGGGCTGAGTCCCCCCTCTCCTGAGATGCACTGCAGGCACCCTGCACCACACTGCAGCCACAGGCGTCCCTCCACTAGATAAACACCGGGAGGCACACTCCTGCTCCATACACACCTGGAGGCACACCTGCACCATACCACAGCCACACGGGCACCGCTGAACATCCCTCTGCTTGGATAACTGCCTGCAGGCGTCCCTGACTCACACGCACCTTCCCTCCCCCGGGCCCCCGCATTGCCGGCTGTGTGCCTCCCTGCACACACACCTGCTCTCGCACCCACGTGCAGCCAGCTGCACCCTCGTCCCCTCTGCTGCATGCCTGCGCCTGCGTACCTGCCTCATTCTCGCACGCTCGGCCACACACGCACCTGCCCTCCCTCCCCCGCTCCTTCTGACGCTGCCCCATGGGGCCGTCACTTTTTCACGCCCGACACTGTTCCTTAGAGAAACACCAGCTACTACCCCCAAAGGCTCATTGCCCGGTCCCGGGGCCCAGACCACCAAACCATGGCTGAGCGTGGAGAGAGGGACCGTGCCTGGGCGTGGGGAGAGGGGCCACGGCGTGCGGGCCTCGAGGGACAGACCTGAGGCCCCAGAGACTGGGCATTTGGGAATCAGCCCCGAGGTCCAGGAAGCGGCATGCTGTGTAGTCAGTCAGGGGGCAGCATCTTGGGGCATCCACACACACACCCCCATCCGGACAGCCCTCAGGCCCCGACAGCCCGAGGTAAACAACAGCCAGGACTCGGCCCCATCAGAGGGTGACACTCAGGACTCGGCCCTGGAGGCTCTGGGGTGACCCAGCTCTGACGTTCCTTCCAGGGGAACGGGGGTGACATGCTGGGGGCTCCCAGGACTGTTGGAGGAAACACAGAGAGAAAACGGGCGCTGACTGTCCCTTGGCTGCACGTTTAGGGAGGGGGCAGCAGGAGCCAGGGACACTGGGGTGACCTGTGCTGTTCGACCCAGCCTCTGCTTCCAGGGGACATTCAGACAGGCGACCCACCCCTCGGGCTCCTGGTCGCTGGGCACAATGAGTGTCCCCAGCACATGCCCCTCTGAGCACTGCCGGGGTCCTCCGTCCACGCGGCCTGGCCCTGCCTCCATCGGCACGGCCATTTGGGATGTCCCCCTCTGCTTCAGGCTGGGCTGGGGGCTTCTCAGCTCCCCGGCCTGGATGGTGACTGGGTGAAAGGGCCCAGAGGCCCGTCTCCCCGCCCCCCAGCCCCGTCCCCGGATGCCATTCATTCCGAGCTGGGGAGGCAGCCGCTGGGAGCTGTAGTGACCCAGGCAGCAGGCCGGTCCCTGGGGATGTGGACGGGCGCAGAGCTGGGCTGCCGGGAGTGGGGCAAAGGCGGCAGCGGCTCGTGGGGGAGCTCGGGGAGGGGCCCCGGAAAGCGGGTGCTGGGGAAGAGCACCCCTCATGCCCCTTGTCCCGAGTCCACGCAGTGCCCAGTCGGTGGGGTCACTCTCTTGCACACAGACAGGCAGAGGAGGGCAAGACTTGAGACTCATGAATGAGTGAATATGAGTGAATGTGGAAACGAGACTGAGCCTCACAGAGGGGGACAGCCCGGGTGGTCAGAGGTCCCTCCTCTGTGTGCGTCACTCTGGGGGAGTCCCCTGGATTCTACCCGAACTGCGTGCAGGGCTCAGAGCTATTCTGAGGTGTCCACAGCCGGCCTGGCTCCAGCCTCTGCTCACGGTGGGTAGCAAGGAGCCCCAGGGCTGACACAGTCTCCAGACTCCTGAGCCCCAAGGGTCCCGCCACGAGTGACAGGGTGGGGAGGGAGATGCAGCCAGGAAGAAAGCCTGTGCTGGGCTCCCTGGTGAGCCCTGAGCACTGATCTGGGAGCACCAGGCCTTCCCCCTGGCTAGTCCTGAGCACTGGTCTGGGAGCACTGGGCCTTCCCCTTAGTGAGTCCTGAGCACTGGTCTGGGGGCACTTGGCCATCGATGGGGTGTAGGTGAGGGCAGAGTCATTCTCTCCTGTCCATGGATCTCACCCGTGCACCCCAACCTTGGAGGGGCAAGAAGGGGGGACTCTGGTGCTGATGTTCCCGGCCACACCCGCGCGGATCCTGTCACCTCTGGCCAGCTCAGAAGGGCCTGCAGAGCCCTGGGGCAGGAGTGGGGAGGCCACTGCTGGGAGCCACAGCGGCCCCAGACCACAGCGTGGGGCCCGTCCACCCAGGCCACGGAGGGCCAGACCCACCTGCACATGGAAACTCGGAGCCGCGGCCTCCCCAACGCAGCCGGCGGCACCTGCATAGGCACCGGGCCTCGCTGGGCACGTGCACTCCCAGGCGGCTGTGCCAGCACCCACCGGGGATGCAAGAAATCCCCCATCCCCCGCCGGGGAGCCCCTCTGAGTTGGGGAGAGGAGGGGAGAGGCCCAGAGACTGGACCAATGTGAGGACAGCCCATGCTGGCCCCCGTCGCCATGGTTACTGCCTGTCTCAGAGGAGTTTTTTTTTTCCTTTCCGTAGAAAATTCCCTTTACCCCGCTTGGGCTCCATAAATACTGATCAGTATTTTGGGTTCCATAAATACTTTCCCGCGCTGCCCCGTGGCTCTGCGTTTGTGGGAGTGGCTGGGCGTCCACTGGCCGCAGTGGGGCAAGATCTACTGCTGGCCGCGGCCCCGGGCCCGCAGCGCAGGGTGCTTGCAGCTGGGTGCTCCGGGTCAGAAGGGAAGGGAAGGAGGACGGTCAGGGACGCCCCCAGACGCGCCTCATCGCCATAAGAGGGCAAGGGAGACGCTGTTTATAAATACGTTGTTGCGTGTTTGTGCTGGGAGGCCGGCCGCCGGCCTGGGCTGGGCGGGACGGACTGAGGACGCCCCTCCAGGAGAGAAGGGCAGGGCTGGGCAGCACCCGGGGGTCCGGCAGGGCTGTCAGTGCACCCCTTCCTGCCGCCTCGGCTCAGCAGGGCCGGCTCCCCTGTGAGCAAACGAGACAAGCAGAGGTGGGTGGTGGGGAGGGGGCGCAAAAGAGTCGGGGAGACGCGGCCCCGCGCCGCCCTCCTCTGCCACGGTGTGTGTTGGGGAGACAGTTCTACTCGTGTTTATCCGGTTCATTTCATTTGATTGGGGGTCCACGCCCAGCGGTGCTCGGGGCTCACTCCCGGTGGGCTTGGAGGGCAACACGGGGCGCTGGGGGTCAAGCCTTGGGCAGCTCCACACAAGGCCAGCGCCCTGCCCCGTCCGTGGCTCTGCCCCCGTCCCAACGTGCTTTTATTGACAAGCACTGACATGACTCGCCCTCATGGCCATTTGCTCTCGCAGCATCTCCATGAATTTAGAACAGTGAGAGCTTTTGAACATTCACAATCTTAGAGGACTGATCAGTAGCTGTTTCCCCATGACCAAACACTCCCTACGGATGACCCGGCTTGCATGCTCTTCCTCCAGTGCTCAGCAGCCACCGGCCAGCCCCGTTCTCCCCTCCCCAGCCCTGTGCAGGTGGGGACGAGGCTGCGGGGGTCTCCCATCTGAGCCCCTGTGTCTGCCCCCCACCCAGGTCTGCGAGCTGTGCAAGGGGGCGGCGCCCGCCGACAGCCCCGTGGTGTACGCAGACCGGGCAGGCTACGGCAAGCAGTGGCACCCAGCCTGCTTCGTGTGCGTGCAGTGCTCCGAGCCGCTGGTGGACCTCATCTACTTCTGGAAGGACGGAGCGCCCTGGTGCGGCCGGCACTACTGCCAGAGCCTTCGGCCGCGCTGCTCGGGCTGCGACGAGGTAAGGGGGGAGGGGCGGGGGCAAGGGGGAGGCGACTTGGGGAAACCGAGGCTCGGGCCTCTCCCGGGCCTCACGCACCTCTTCTGCCCCCAGATCATCTTCTCCGAGGATTTCCAGCGCGTGGAGGACCTGGCCTGGCACCGGGAGCACTTCCTGTGCGAGGCGTGCGAGCAGCCGCTGGGTGGCCGGGCCTACATCGTCTCCCACGGCCGGCTCCTGTGTCCCACCTGCAGCAAGTCCCCGCGCTCCTGAGGGACCTGCGCGGCCCTGCTGGCGGCCCCCCGGGGGCAGGGACCGCGGGACAAGAGCCCACGGCCAGCAACTGGGCTGCGGGACTCAAGGCCGAATTTATGCACCCCTTGAGGAGGGTGAATTCCTGGCCAGGCTCAAGTGCCCCCGGGTGGCCCTGCCGTCCCCCGGGCCTGGGTGGTGCCCCCACCCCCACCGGCCTGGACCCCCACCCCGGCCTCCTGGGTGAGATCAGAATGTCCATACGAAGCATTTGTGCCCATGAAGCAGCAATAAAGGCGCCGGGAGTCCCAGCCCCTGGTCCCTGGTCTCCTGTCCCTGTCCCTCACCCTGACGGTTCCCAACAGGGAGAGTCCCTCCTCCCATCCCAGGAGACAGGGCTCTGGAATGTTCTGGGGAGCTTTCTGAAAGTGGGGGAGGGGGGAAGGCCCAATGAGCAGGGACTGGCGGGTGGAGCCCAGGGCCTGGCTGGAACTGGCCGGAGTCCCCTCCCCACCGGGTGCCCCACTCAGCTGTCACGGCTCATCAGACTCCTGGGAGGGCCAGCCTCGGGGCCACAAGCACACCCCCGGGTCCAGCTCCCCTTAAACATGGCAGAAAACTGCGGGTCACACTCCCTGACCCCCAAAACTGAAGCCTTTTCTGGGGACCCCACCCAGCTGCGCCCAAACCCGCCGGGAGACAGCTGACCCTCTAGTGACACATGGGAGCAGCTAAGGGGACCCTCCAGCCTCCACCCACAGGTGCCTCCGTGGCCTGGTGACTTGGAAGCAGATGGGAAGAAATGGGAAGTTTGGGTGGGGAAAAAAATGGTGTTTTTTTTTTTTTTTTTGCCCTCAAGAGGTCCCAGGGTTCCCCCAGTGATTCTAAGCCACTGCCCTGGTCTTGGTCACCGCATGCCCCTGAGTCCTACCTTGCCCTACCAGGGCTGGAGGGCCACAAGGCACCGGGACAGAAGCTGGGGCAGGTAGCCCATCGATATGCACCCTAACCACTGCACCATCTCTCTGGCCCACTAATGGGACCAAGTGAACATTCCACAAGTTCGAACCGAAGAGCCGCCAGCTGGCTCCGAGCTGTCCCCAGAGCTGCCTCCTCCTGGCTTCTGGCAAGACGGGTCTCTCTGCTCCTGGGGGTACCAGGATGGAGCAGACCTGAGTCTTGCCGCCCCCCAACACCCTCCATGGCTACCCTGGCCTCGAACCCCAAGTCCACCCCCAGACCTCGGCGACCCCACCCAAGCACAGCTCACTGGACCCTCTGGCCTTGGGCTCTTCCTGGCGTCCACTCCCGTGTCTCGGGGTCCTTTGGGGATGCCCCACGCTATCCCCACACCCCACCCCCGCCCGGCGCTGCCAGATCTTCGACACCCAGGGCTCCTTCCCTTCCCAGGACTTCTCTGACACAGCCCCAAGAAGCACCCACGGCCATTTATACCCGCATCTGCTCACCCACTCACTCATGTCCCCCATTCTGAGCCTGGGAACGGACCATGGGAGCAGGGGCTGAGTGAGGGGGCACAACCACTACTGAAGGTTCTGGGAAGGGGGGGACTTTCCCAAAGCCGAAAAGGGGATGTGGTACAGAGAGGGATGCTGGGAGAGGAGGGGCATAAAAGGAGAGGAGAAGAGTGAATGGTTTCTGGTGGACAAAGCAGAAAAGAGTAGCAGCGAAGATGGGACCAGGAAGCACATGCAAAAGCCCGCGGCAGAGTGAGGAAGTTTGTGCAAAGGCCCTGTGGCGGGCAGCCACCAAGTCTGGACACCTTGGCTGGGATCTGGGGCAACAGCTCTGCCTTGGCTTTAGTCACAGTCACTAGGCCAGCCAACTGGGCACTGAGACACGTACAGCATCTGCCTTATGGACTTTATCAGGAGCAGAGGAGGGAGCTGGGGTTTGGTGGTGACTCGCAGGGACCCCTGCTGTTTAGGGGCTCGGTTCAACAGGCAGCGTGGCCCAGTGACCAGGGTCTGGTCTCCACCCTCTGCTTCCCGACATTCTATCAACTCACTTCCCCAGCATCCTCTGCAGCTGGGGAAGGGCCTGAGGGTCATTTGCATAGCTTCAGGGGGTGGTGGGGGCTTCAACAGGGGAAGGAGGGGAGCAAAGGACTCTGCTTCTGTTCCCTTTGACTAGAAGTTCAAACCAACGGTCACAGTCATCAGACGGAACAAAGCGTTTCTTCTCGACACATCTGGGCGGCCAGGGGGGTTGCTGGGGAAACACACCACCCAGAACCTCAGGGCATCACCCCTCCAAATGAGGACTTTCTCCTGTTGATGCAAATCCACTGTGGGACTCGGGACTTCCCCAGGCAGGTGGCTCCGGGGCAGCGCACTAGCCTAGCACGTGAGGGTCAGGGTTCAGGCCTCAGTTCTCCATGGTTCCCCTGGGCAGTGACTATCACATGAGCACCAAGCTGGGAGTGACTCCCAAGTACAGCTGGGTCTGCCCCTCCCCCACAACAAACAAACAAAACACACAACCTCAGGAATGACTCCGCATCTGCTCCTCAGTTGAAAATCGAGTTCTACCGACTGACACAGTAACACCCCTCCTGACAAAAGAGACCTTGGGTTCCGTCTTCCACTTCGCTATTTAGTCCAAGTCCCTTGCACTGGAAGGATTTTTCTTTCTCTATGAAATATTTATGGCCTCCAGCCAGAGACACAGTATAGCAAGTAAGGTGCTTGCCTTGCATGCGCCTGATCCAGATTTGATCCCTGGCATCCCGTGTGGTCCCCAAACCCTGAGCACAGAGCCAGGAGTAAGCCCTGAGCACCACAGGGTGTGACCCCCAAACAAAAACCGAACATGTATGGCTCTGCATCTTAGATGAAAGACCAGTACGTCTAGCTCAAAGGCTGGGGGTATGCTCTGCATGGTATGCTCTGCATGCAGAAGCCTGGGTTCGAGCCCTTGCACATCCTGAAGAGACCCCTGAGCACTACCGAAGTGGCCAAAGATCAGTTGCAAAGGGGGTACCCCCCAAATGACTCTGTCACGATTATGATCCCGTGATGAGGGCTTTGGATTTTTCAGAAAGAAAGACCAGGCAAGGATCATTGTTTTCTGTTTCTTTTTTTTTTTTTTTTGCATTTGATCAAATGTTTCCAGATTTTTATTTGTTATGTGAGTGTTGACATTAATTTTGAACACTTGGCTCAGCTAATCTGTGCCAAGTTTTCTTCCATTGTTACTTTTCCCCTTTGTACTTAATGAGGTACTTTTGAGGCTGTTACTACTCTTCCCCTCATCAAAATTCCACCCACTCGCCCAGTGAGGTTTCTTGACTGAATCATTACCGTGAGCGTTGCCAAGTGCTGATTTTGTGATTTAATCAGTCCTTCGGTGTTTATATCTAGCATTCTCCCTATTTTTTTCATTCATTGCTTTATGTCGATGGATTAAGATATGGATTTAGTAAGCCATTAAAGTTAAGATTCTAAGTTATGAACGACTATCTTACCAAAAATATTTATAATCTATAAGTGCTATTATTTGATGCTCAAATTGTCCCAATTTTGGCCAAAGAAAGTTTTTTCTAGCTGACTGCCCCGTCCTTTGTACACTTCTGATTATTCTTCGAGCACAGCTGGACATTCTGGAACAATCCAGAATTCCTGGCTCCTCTGTGCCTTCCCTAACTCCTTGCAGGATCAATCACTTCTTGGTGATGGGGGTTATGGGGGGGTCCTCTGTCCTAGACTGGGACCATTGGGTTGAAGCCCCTGGTACCATCAGGGCACATGGACCAAACAAGGTGACCAAGACTCGTCAAGGATGACAGCATAGAGCCCAACATGCGGGGTCACTCGCCATGTCACCTGGCCATGAACTTGCCCCCGGGCTTGTAGTCACCTGAAGCAATGTCACTCTTCACCCCCGGGGACCCCTTCTATCCCTTCTATGCCAAGACACATCCCCAAACTGTGCGGCAGCTCATCCATGTGGATCTGGGTCACTGTCGCCCTGAGCCACGCAGTGGACACCCACGACGTTTCCATTAGACTCTGGGCAAATCTGCATTTCTGAAGCCGTCACAGCTCCCTGCTCACTCGCATGCTGGTCATGTCTGCAGGGCAGGGACAGAGGGCCTGGGAGGTAACCACTGGGCTCTGGGGTCTAGCTTCCAACAGGAGAGTGATAAGGGGAGAGGGAGTGAGGGGGCTCAGCGGCCGCCCCCTCCCACCTCTGACCCAGAAGGAAGCCGTGTCTGATTCCCTCCCCAACAGTCCCGTGTGCACTCACTCTGACCCAGAGCACGAGCCGCTCAGCCTGACGACCTCTGCTCCTTGGGGGAGGGTGGAAACAGCGTCTGTCCACAGTGCAGTGTGAGTGGAGCTCCTTCTGGAACGACTCGACCGCAGGCTAGACTCTGGACCTCTCCTGGCAAACATAGGCCAGTCCAACTCCAAGCAAGTTGTTGGCTTTTTCGATCATAAAGAATAGATTAGGGGGCTGGAGTGATGATAGCACAGCAGGTAGGGAGTTTGCCTTGCACATGGCCAACCGGGGTTTGATTCCCAGCATCCCATATGGTCCCCTGAGCACCACCAGGAGTAATTCCAGAGTACATGAGCCAGGAGTAACCCCTGTGCATCGCCGGGTGTGACCCAAAAAGCAAAAAAAAATTAAAAAGAATATATTAGGCCACCTCCCAAGCTGCCAACTCACTCACCTGCGCTGCAGACTCACGAACCAAGGCTCCAAGGAGATACAAGCGGGGCAGTTGGAACTCATGGACACACAGGATTCCCCCGACCACGTCCGTCCCGACTGGAAGCTCTGGGGCACCCTCGAGAGGGGGCAGACCGAGTCCTACCCCTGCCGAAGCCCCACAGCCGCACCCACACCCACACCTGCTGCTGCCGCCACACCAATGGCCTCCTGCCTGTCTCCACGGCATCACTGAGCATCTCTGCAGGCCCAGCCGAGTTCTACAGATCCTGAGGTTTCTGGAGTACATGGTCACGTGTAATTCCACAGTACTGATGTGAGGCCAAAATGGAGCCATGACAAGCTCCACTTTAAGACCGAAACTCAGCAGGCCTAAGTCTTGGTTTCCCCCATCAGAAGGCCCCGTCTTTTCAGAAAACAATATCACTCTGGTCAGGTAAACTGCCCCGTGGCAACAGCCTATCGGAGTAGGGGCCATGGGCAGTGGCGCCCAGCCAAGCAGAGAGGGCCGAGGGAGTGGAGTCACGGGACCAGACAGGAACCAAGAACTGGAAACATAATGATGGTCCCTAATGTCACGAACCGAACAGGAACCAGAATTGGAAA